TTCTAGGAGGGTCAGAGGGAGGAGGTAGTTCTAGGAGGGTCAGAGGGAGGAGGTAGTTCTAGGAGGATCAGAGGGAGGGGGTAGTTCTAGGAGGGTCAGAGGGAAGGGGCAGTTCTAGGAGGGTCAGAGGGAGGGGGCAGTTCTAGGAGGGTCAGAGGGAGGGGGCAGTTTTAGGAGGGTCAGAGGGAGGAGGCATGCGCTGGAGGGTCAGAGAGAAGCAGCCTGTCTGGGAGGGACACGGGGCGGGCACACCTATGCAGGGTGCTCACTTACTTGGATGCTGCCTCCTCGTCATATTTCCGCCGCAGCTCCAGCAGCTCTGTCTGTGTGGCCTTTAACGCTGGGGAAAAGAAAACAGGCTGGGTGAGACCCCCCACCCTCAAACAGGGAGGGGGCTGGGCCCTACCAGGCAGGTGGAACCCACACATAGTGTGGGGCCCATAAGGCAGAACGAGGTGGGGGTTGGGTGGGGGGGAGACCTTTCTCATGGTTAGAGCTGGCAACAGGGAGTGAGTTTCCTATCCTTGGAGGGTCTTGAAGCTGGTGGGGGATGTGGAGTGGCCGGGGTGGGGAGGGCAGACAAGAACATTCTCTATGAGTCCGTGGAGCTGACGGGCCCAGGCAGAGTAGGGAGAGTAGGGGGTACTGTCTGCCCCAGGGCCTGGGGCTGTGACCCCCCCCACAACTTCCTGGGTCACCCAAGGACCTGGGTAGAGCCAGCTGTCCATGAGCACAGCCCACCCTGAGGTCCTGACCTGGTGATGGGGGTGGAGGTAGTGTGGGGTGGGGATAGGGTGAGGGAGAAGAGCAAAGCTGATAACAGACACATTTATATGTTAATAAATGAAGGTTTTCCCATAAAATTCCAGATTTCTGTTGGAAAACTGAAGGGATTAGCCACATTGGGTCACATGACTGCCCCTGGCTGGCACAGAGCTGTGGTCATCTCTTTAGACAAGGCCTTAGCTCTCCAGTTTGCCCTAGACCTCACCCCTCCCTATTGCCTTCCCTAACCCTGCTGCCTTGGCTTGTTCTCATTGCATGCCCGGCCCCTGTAGGCATTGCATTTGATGTCCCTGATCTGATTCTACTTTGAACCCTCTCTCCACAGCAATATGGCCACTAGGGGCTGGAGACCTCAGATCCCAACTGGGTGAGGGAGGCGTTCCCACTCCCTTTTCACCTTCTATTTCTAGAACAGCCGAGCCTGGCAGACCAAAGCTGTGTCCCCACGATGGCTGACCCTCTGTCACCCCTTCTGCTAGGCCTCCTGGTCTGCCGGGTGGGGTGCTGAGCGAGGGCAGGGACACGTCCCAATACATACCTGAATGTAGAACCTTGATCTTCTCCTCTGCCTCCCCCAGTCTGGCCGCCAGAGTGATTTGTACTTCTTGAAGGCCCCTGTGAAGAGACAGGCCACTCACGTTGGCTGCAGGGTTGGCCTAACCTGGGTCCCTAAGCCAGACCCCATCCCGGCTTCCTATCCCCTAACCGACTTTCTATAACCTGCAACTCCGTCTTTTTAACACAGAAATTCAGGCATTTGGCTGCTCTGTTGTTGTTTTTATAACTGAAGTGAAATTCATGTAATATAAAGCTAATCATTGTAAAATGCAAAATTCAGTAGCATTCAGTGTATTCACAATACTGTGCAACCACCACCTCTGTCTACTTCCAGAACACTTCCATCACCCCAAAGGGAAACCTGGTACGCATGACGCAGTTCTCCGTTTCCCTCGCCTCCTACCCCTGGAAACCATTAATCTACTTTCTGTCTCTATAGATTTGCCTGTTCTGGATACTTCATATGAAAGGAATATTACAATATGTGGCCTTTTGTGTCTGGCTTCTTTGGCTAAGCATCATGTTTTCAAGGTTCATTCATGTTGTGGCACGTATCAATAATATTCCATTATATGGATGTACCACATCTTGTTTATCCATTCATCTGTGATGGGCATTTGGGTTGTTTCCACTTCTGGCTGTGGTGAACAGTGTTGCTCTGAACATCCACGTACATGTATTTGTGTAAGTCTCTGTTTTCGGTTCTCCTGGGTCTATACCTACGAGTGGGTTTGTAGACTCATATGGTAACTCCAGGTTTAACTTTGTCAGGAGTGGTCAAACTGTTTTCCACAGCTGCCCTGCTGTGCTGCCTGTGTGGCCTCCATGATGGCTGCCCTAGTTAAGTTTCTGTCAGAGTTTTCAGGGTCCTACAGTAAGTCACCTCATCTCTTTGGGCCTCAGTTTTCTGTAAAATGTGGTTTCTGAGGTGATCTGTTTCAGTGGGAGTGTAATGATATTTGCTCAGTATCATTAGTTACTGTCCCTATGTGAGGGGTGCACTTTTCCCCCTTCTGTAGCAGGAGTTTGGGGTCCTCAGCCAGCCCTTCAGGGCCTACCTTGGGTGTGATTCAAGCTTCTCGGCAGAGAAAGAGGAGCCCTAGGAGGACCAGAGATGGTTTATGCAAAGCTCAGTGACTTCCAGGAAGGCGTCCCCTTTGCCTCCGAGCACACATCCCACCCCTCCCCCTCACTCGCCCCATTCCTGCCACACTCGCTTCCTTGCAGCTCAACACACCAGGCATGCTCCCACCTCAGGGCCTTTGCACTGGCTGTCCCCTGTGCCTGGAACACCCTTCCCCTATGGACCTGCAAAGCTCATCCCCTCACCTCCTTGGGCCTTTGCTTGCCTTCTCAGGGAGGTCTTTCCAATACCCTATTTAAAATAGCAGCCCCCCTACCTTGTGCCCTTCTCCCCTGCTTTATTTTCTCCATCATCCTTACTGTCATCTAACATACCACGTGTTTTATCTATCTCGTTCATTCGTGTGTGGCCTTCGCTAAAAAGTAAACTCCAGGAGGGCAGGGGTTTTTGTCTGTTTTGTTTGCTGCTATGTCTCCTGAGCCTAGAACAGTGCCTGGCACACAGTAGGTGCTCCATAAATACATGGAATGAATGAAGGCAGGAATAAGTGAATGAATGAAGAAATAACTGTAATCATCACCATAAAACTGCCCTAGGCCTAGAACTGTCCCAAGACTCCAGAGTTTATTACCACTGTACCAATCGTAAAGGCAACTATGAACGAAGCACCTACTGTGCACAAGCACTGAGCTAAGCACTTACAGGTAACATTTAGTTCTCACAGCCGGTGAGGAGCTGATACCACCATCAGCACTTTTTCCAGATGGGGAAATTGAGGCTGAAGGGTGATGTGACCTTCCCAGGACTGGCCACACAGCAAGTCAGCCACTCACACCCAGGCCTGCTGGAGGCCAAAGCCCTCACCTTTTCTACATCGGGGGTGTGGGGAGAGTCGGTTTCCTGGGAAGGGTGACTTTCCAGCTCCCCTCCTAGTCCACCTGCCCCTCCCTCACTCACTTTTGTTTCTCGGCCTCATTTCTTTGCAGCAAGGTTTCTGTCAAGAGGGCTTTGCAGGGAAGGCCTGGGAGGCGGCTGCCGTCGGTCAGCGTGGGCCCGGCTGGAGTCGTCCCCTCTCTCTGTTCTAGGGGAGGAAAAGACGGAAAAGCACCCCTCACTGGGAGAGCTGCCTGACAGCAAGCTGCTTTCTGTAAGCCAGGATCGACCACGCTGGGAGAAGAATCAATTTCCCAAACTTGGGCCTTGGAAAGAGTGCACCTGTTGGATCCGTGAGCTCTGAGTGAGCACATACGTCCATTCCCACCGCACCTGCCTTGGGCAGCACACCCAGAAGCCTCCTCTGCCCTCCGAGACCCGCTCATCCTGCCTTGACCTGCTATTTGTTTGTTTTTTTATTTAACTGTGATAAAATACACATAACATACAATTCATGACTTTAACCATTTTAAAGTGTGTAATTTATTGGCATTGAGTACTGCAACCACCACCTCTACCTCATTCCAGAACATTTTTGTCCCCCCTAAAAGAAACTTATGGAGCCCTGGTGGCACAGTGGTGAAGAGCTTAACTGCTAACCAAAAGGTCAGCAGTTCAAATCCACCAGCTGCTCCTTGGAAACCCTATGGGGCAGTTCTACTCTGTCCTATAGGGTCACTATGAGTTGGAACCGACTTGACGGCACCTAACAACAACAAAAGAAACTTATACCCATTAGCAGACACTCCCCGTTCCCTGCTCCCAGCCCCTGGCAACCGCTAATCTGCTTTCTGTCTCTGTAGATTTGCTATTCTGCACCTTTCACAGAAATGGAATCATCCAATAGTTGATCTTTTGTGTCTGGCATCTTTCACTCAGCATCTTGGTTTCATGTTGTAGCACTAACCTTTAGGTTCACAGTTGATCACAAACCACTTGTGCCACCCAGGCTCCATTTTTTTCTATAAAGTTTGCTTATTTATGTATTCTTTTCTTCATTTGCCATATTAAGGGCCTATGTACGAGGCACAATGTAGGTGCTGGGCATCAGTACTAAACAGCACAGATACGGTTTATTATATAAACCAGTTGCTGTAGCATCGACTCGACTCGTGGCGACCCCATGGGTCAGTGTGTAACAGTGCTCCGCAGGGTTTTCAGTGGCTGATTTTTTGGAAGTAGGTCACCAGGCCTTTCCTCCAAGGTGTCTCTGGGTGGATTTGAAGTGCCAGTTAGCAGTCGAGCATTAACTGTTTGAACCACCCAGGGACTCTGACATTAGCTCAGGTAGTCTTCAAGCCCCAGCTCATCTCTTCTCAGCATCTGTGCCTGAGACAGTGCTGCGTACTCACGAACCCCCATTTCCCTCTCCTCCTGGGCACAGGTAGTCTGCATTTCCCAGTCTTCCTTGCAGCTGGGTATGGCCACATGGCTGCGTTTTGGCTAATGGGATGTGAGCGAAAGTGATGTGTGTACTTCCAGGCTTGGACTCTATGAACGCTGGCAGGACCCTCCACGTTCTCTTCCTCTGACTGTTGGCTGGTTGTCAACATTCACTGTGACTCCAGATGTCACGTGTTGAAGACGGCAGGACCTCCACAGCCTGGGCCCGAGTGACTGTATGGAGCATCCTCTGTAACCTCCCCACCCTTCAATTATATTAAGCTTGAGATTTGAAGGTTGATCTATTTCAGCGGCTGTGTCACCTTAACCCATCCCACATCTAAAAGGATAAAGTCAAGGTCCCTACCCGCCACCCCACCAAGGGTGGCCGAGTGGCTGCTGAAGATCCCCAGCCTGTCTATCTGTTATGGACATCCCACCCAACCAAAAAGGCTCGTCAGTACCTTTGGGGCCAAGGAGCTCAGGGTGTCTCTTCCACGAAGTGTGCAGGTCTCGCCGAGGCTGCCCACTGGGGTCAAAGCTGGGGGCCTGCAGTCTGTCGTCTAGGCTGCGAGCCGCCTCAAACACAGGCACGGGATCTGCAGATAGAGAGAGAGAGGCGGGTAGGGTGATGAGGGTCTGAGTGACGGGTCCCTCCGCGGGCACGTAGGGGGGCATCCACAAGAGCCAACTGGGAGTTGCTCTGACGGTTCAGAGTTAGCAACGTGGATTTTCTGCTTTATGAGGGAACAGCCTTCTCCCAGGGTGTGCAGTGTCCCGCCCAATTAGGAATAATAAGATTAACAGTAATTATGACAATGCAGGCAGTCCCCGGATTATGAATGAGTTCCATTCCTAAGTCTGTCTTTAAGTCGAATTCGTATGTAAGTCATAACAGTTAAGTACGGTTTGTATCTAACATCAGTTAGTCGAATGTCTGTCTTATAGTGTACCTTTCTATGCATAAAAAAATTAAAGAAACATTTCCAGATACACTAAAACATCTTTAACATAATAATACAGTAGTTAGAATAATAACATTATGATGTGTGTTGCAAAGTAGCACCTGTTTGTTATTACTAACCATTGTATGTACCTCGAGTCTTTAATATAATAGGCTTTACGGGGGTTGGTCCCTAACTGCGGATTGTACGTAAGTTGCACATTCATAACCTGGGGACTGCCTGTAACTGCATTTTCTGGGGGGTGTAAAAGGTTAACATGCTCAGCTGATAACCAAAAGGTTGGTGGTTTGAGTCCACCCAAAGGTGCCTTGGAAGAAAGGCCTGGCAATCTACTTCTGAAAAAATCAGATATTGAAAACCCTGTAGAGCACAGTTTTACTCTGAAACTCATGGGGTCACCATGAGTCAGAATCAACTTGGCGGCAAATGGTTCTTTTTATGATGTCATCGGTGGCGGCCATGAGAATGTGCCTTGCAGACCTCCAACCACAGGGAGCGTGACTGAGCAAGGACCTCAAACGCCGTGCTGTGACACCCGTCATGCGGAGACCACACTGTGCACACTGGGACACTACGGCCAGTTCGCTCCTGGAGACATGGGCTCCTCTGAGAAACGACCCGGGCTTGAGGACTCCCTTGTGGCCTTGCCTGGCCTTCCTCAGACTGCACACTTCCAGCAATCTTCCCTCCCTCTCTCTTTCTTTTGGGGTCACACCTGCAGCAGTCCATGGCTCTCCCAACTCCCCCCATCCCAGCTCCCTCCCCATTTCCTCTCACAGGCATGTCCCCAATAGCACCCGTGCAGTATAAGCCTCACTTGGCACCTGCTTCTCTGTGGATGAGACTAACACACCATCGTCTGTGACACACGGTTGTCAATAAATGGTGACTTTTCTGGGGATGAAATACACACCTGCATGTAAGATGCCTCCCAATTCCCCAACTGCTGGAAGGTGAGCTGTGCAGGTCTCTCACTCCCTCTCCCACCCCTCCTCCACGATCTTCTTCTCTTCCTTCACATCTACAGTCTAGCATCACTCCTTCCGGGAGGCTTTCTTTGACTCTCTCCCTAGGGCAGGTACTAATAACGCCTGGATAATTCCAAGGTTGGGGTGGCATTTTCCAGGTTACAAAGCCCCAGGGGAATGAGGTCCTATGACCTCCATAGATGGAGGCTGGCTTGCACTACTCATTTTCACAGATGAGGAAACTGAGGCTCAGACAGCCCAGGTAACTTGCTGAAGGATGGGGTTCGAGACTCTGATACCACAAATGTTTCCTGCCCCAGTGGTGTGGATGTTCCCCCCATGTAGTCACAGGAGGTGTCCGTGGGGGCCCAGGGAAGCCAGGTCTCTTTGTCCGTGACCAAAGTGCCCCTGGTCTGGTCCACAGTTCTTTCCAGTACACTGGAGCCATCTCCTCCATTCCTGGTGCCTCTCTGGGAGCCTCCCTCCAGCATCTGCTTGGCTACTGCTCTCTACTGAGGGCCGCAGGATGGAGAGAATGGACTTGGGAATCAGACACCCTGGGATGTGGTCTACCCCATACTTGCTTTTCGGGATTGCTGTGTGACCTTAAGAAGGGACTCTGGCTCTCTGTGCCTCTCCATACAAGTACTGACCTCATGGGGCTAGGACAAGGATCCACATAAGAGCCCAGCATGGCACCTGGCACTTGGTAAGCTCAGAACAAACAGGAGCACTCGCTGTTCCTGCCTTTCTGAGCTCCAGTCCCACTGGCCTTCACTCAGGTCCTCCAATGCACCCACCCACTTCAGAGCCTCTGTACAGGCAGGAGACTCTGTCTGGAATACCCGTCCCTTCCTCACTCCTTCCAGCTAGTCACTGCTTACTCATCTTCCATACTGAAACTTTAATGCCACTTTTTCCAGGAAGCCTTCCTTGACTAGTCAGTCATTCGATATGAGCTCTCCCAGCTGTCTGCACCTTCCCTTTCCAATATCCATCGCAGTTACTACTTAAATTTATTCATGAGTCCACCCAATTAACAACCACTGGACTGCAAACTCCACAGGGAGCACCGGGAGGTACATGTTTTTGCTCCCCTACTGGACCCCCTGTGCTTAGCACAAAGTCTGGCACACAGTCCAACCTAATAAATACTTGCTGATGGAAGAAACGGGGCAGTGCCTGTACACAGGGCCTTCAGGTATGGCTGGAACAAGGATGCTTGTCCGTTTCATTTCTCTTCTTCCACCTGTTTCTCTAGGTCGTGGGAGGCTCGGACAATGGGCGTTTGTGCCGAGGTAAGCAGGTGCGCATGAACGCCGCCTCATCTTTCCTCTGTCAGCACTCCCCCACGCCCCGTCATTAGGCAGGGCCTACTCAGCAGGGTATGCCATTATGTCTCCCCGGGCTGATGTAATTATACATTGACATAATTAACCCAGCTAGCGCATTAGGCAGGCCAGCTAAAAATTCATCTATAATTATTTGTTGTGTGCATGCTAATGAGTCCATCTGCACTGCCTTTGTACAACACGAACAAATTAATTTACAAGTCTGGATTTTTTAATAAGTTCAAGGAAACGCTTCCTATTGTGTCCTGTTTTCTCAGAAAGGAATAAAGAGGCGAGGAGCACTCGCCAGGGTCAGAGAAGTTAGATAAACATGGGAGGGGGCGGCTCTGGGCGGGGCCGCGGAGGGCTTGCCCTGGCTCCGAGGAGGAGGTGGGAAAGATCTGGCTCATGGCTCAGGGGCCGGCTGGCCACTGAGCCCACCTGAGCCGAACGATTACACCTACACCAGGTGATAAAGAATGTCATTTGCCCTGCTCATGGGGTCCAGTACTGATGTTTCGCTCTGCTTGGAGCCCCGCGGGTCATTCCCTGCTGCCTTGTGTGCTCTGCCCTGGGGAAGCTGATTTCAGGTGCCCCCTGGAGAGGCTGGAGGGAATGGGGTTGGGTGGATACTCAGTGGAAGTTCAGTGGTTTTTAGGCTCTGTGTTTTCGTCTACGTTTGCCAGTGCAGGTAGAACAGAGTGACTAACCTCACAGGCTCGAAGACCCACTCTGGATCCAAACCCCACAGGACTTTGTAAGTTTTCCCATCTATAAGGTGGGAAAATTGAACAGTTCCTACTTCCCAGGAAAGGAGTCTTAGTGGCACAATGATTAAGCACTTGGCTGCTAACTGAAAGCTCAGTGGTTTGAACTCACCAGTGGCTCCATGGGAGAAAAGACCTGGCGATCTGCTCCTGTAAACATTACAGCCTAGGAAACCCTATGGGGCAGTTCTACTCTGTCCTATAGGGTCACTACGAGTCAAATTGACTCAACAGCACCCAACAACAACAACACTTCCCAGGAATTACTATTGGGAGGATTAAAAAGATACGGAGAGAGGCAGTATGATTTAGAGGCTGTTGGTATAGCTCAGACCTGTGATCAGGTGTCAGCTCTGACTCCAATTAGCGGTGTGATCTTTGGGCAATTAACCTCTCAGAGCCTCTGCTTCCCCATCTGTGAAAAGGGGCCACGTGAGCAGCGTGTTGCAAGGACTGCATAAGAGAAATGTTTATAGAGATCTGTACAGTTGGCGCATAGTGGGGCTTGGTAAGTGCTGGCTGCTGATATTACCCTGCAGGGAGGCAGCACGCCTGGTTTCCTGGTGTTCTGGGTGCCGGCTGGCCACATGGTCACTCTCTGCCGAGCCTTGGGAACAGGGTTTGGCCTCACATATTCTCATCAGTCCCAGGAGACCTGGAATCAAATAATCCTGCTTGGAACTCCACTCAAGACCCAAAGATTCCTGCTGAGAAAGTCATGCTGGGAGAGACCTATCGGATCAGTTTATCTAGTGCCCACCCCTCTCCCCCAGTGCACAGATGGGGTCAGGTGGGTCTGGTGACTTGCCTGGAGTCTACCAGCGAGTTGGTGGCAGGGCCGAGATGGGCCTGAGGGCCTCTTCCTCCCACACTGTGCTGCCTCCTGGTTCCTCAATTTGAGGGAGAAAGGGGGGTAAGTTTCAGGTGGTTCAGACAAATTCAGGTTGCGAGTGAATCCTAACAGCCAACACCGAGCACTTAGCATGTGCCAGATCTTCTAAGTGCTTTACACTGATTATGATTCATTCCGTCTTCACCACAACACAAGGTAGGTACTACTATTTCCCCATTTTACAGATGGGAAAACTGAGGCAGAGGGAGGTGCAGTCACGTGTGCATGGCATGGCAGTGGCAGAGATGGAACGCATGCAGGCTAGCTACAACTGGCAAGAGAATGGAGGTCCTCAAGTGTCCCTGCAGGTTCTTAAGCGGGTGGGGGAGAGGCACATCATAGTCCCCTGGGGAACTTGTCGAACATCTTTGGGCCTCAGTCCAGAAGGTTTTCATGTGGATAGTCTTTGCATCGGTTCCAGACGTTTAGGAAAAAGCTGGTGGGGATTCTCTGTGGCACAGCTGTTCGACCTTCTTGCCCTTTCTCCCAGGCTGATTTCCCCTGGCGGGTAGGAGTGGATCTGTGGCTTCTGCCACCCAGTTTCGATTCCTTCTTCTGCTAACAGGTCTGACTTAGCTTCCAGTGGGGCTGTCAATCAACATGTCCCACCTTTCCCTGGGAGGTCACCTGACTCATGCTGGCCAATCAAATCTCTGCCTTGGGAACTTCAATCATG